GAGAATCTCACAGCTGAAGTGCTTTTGTAGTCAGTGGGAGTCTGAGAAAGGCAGTGGCACTATGAACACTACATTGTTTTGGATTGCATTAGTGCTGTCAGATGGGGTGTCTTTGTACTGTGGGCGGACTCAGAATATTTTTTTATTAAGATTCAATTTCACTGCAGTACATACCAAAGCACTGTGCTGCATTTTTCTCCTGAATATGGTCCAAGCCAAACTGTTTAAAAAAAATTCAGTGTTGCAGAGTGGTGTGAACAGTACTTATGAGGCAATATTGTCCTACAGTTAATGGTTTGGATCTGGGCTTTGTCATTAGATGACTGTTTCCGGGACTGCCCAAACACCAGAGTGCAATCTGAGTGCCAGCAGGATTGGGTGAGCTCAGCCCACCAGCCCGTCATGCGGCAGTGACCCCTGTAGCTTTACCTGTGACCTGCTGAGACGTCAGTGTCGTCTGTGTCTCCTCCGCTAAGTTCTTCCTGATTGTTTGAGCTGCAGCCTTCCTGCAGCTTCCCAGCCTGCTAAGACTAAGACATGACCAGTGTCCTGGGTTTCAAGACGTGTCGTGACCCCAGCCTCCTGCATCCCCAGGTGCAGTGAGTGCTCCATCAGGAGACACATTGCTTGTGTTTGCTGTGGTCCTTCGCCCAGGACCACTCCGACTCAGGCTCCCCATTAACCCTGCCTGAAATGCTATATTAATTCCAGGACTATTGATAGCAGTCAAGGCAGGAGATGTGAACTAGTTTCACATTAAAGGAGAGGGAGTTCAAGGATGCTTGACTTGCTGACAGGGATTATCTATGAGGCCCATCCCGAGATGTTGTATAACTGCGGTGTTTTATGGTTGCGGTGTAAACACAGGGCTCTCGCTGGCGAAAACTGCAAAACTGGTCTTTCTCTGTCTCTCTCTCCCCCTCCATCTCTGCTTCCTTCTCTCCTCGTCTGTCTCTTTCACACACCCCTTCTCTCCCCATATTGCTCTAATACCGAAATTTGTACTCACTTTGTAGCTGTTGTTTTCTGCATTAAACATGAGCCACAGCCGTTTGATTTTAAACTTTAACTTGCACTCTTCATAAAATATATCCCTGTCACCCAGCAAGCACATTTTATTTTTAAGGGATTTTAACATTTAAAGCCATGGCAGAGAAGTAATAGCTCATATTTGTACAGACCCTCAAATATGTACAATACACTGTAAGTATTTGAACGCCATGCACACAGAAAAGCCATTGGAGCCACTGTATATAATGTATCCACTTGTGTCCACTGTAGAAATGAGGAATGGCTTTGTGTGAATGAAATGTGTAGTAGTCCCTTCTTCTCTGAACATTGAGGTCGTGTTGACTTCTTGAGCCAAAAACCAGATGATGCACTTCTTAGTGGAAAATCCTGACATGATATTCTTTGGGTTTTTAACTTTCACTCATTATGTGAGTACCACGCTGACACACCACAAAACGATCCCTTTCATGTTTGAAAAAATAACTCTTCAGTTCTGTATTTAGTACTTTTAAGTAATTTTAGTTAGTGCTGCTATGTAGTTTCTGAAAGCACATGAGTGCTGTCTTGCTGAATGGGACAGTGCATCACAGGACAGGACAGCAGACCAAACTATTTAGAGACGCCAATTAAACCTCAGCAGCATGTCTATGTGAGGTGGGAAGAGCCCACAGTAGCCAGCAAAAACCCTCTCAAACATGGGGAGGAGAGACAAATGCAAGACAGACACCTAACGCCAAAGTCAAACCTGGGAGCTACAAGGCAGGAACTGTAAGAACCTCAATTATATACTGTACATGTATTACATTCACTGTATGTGTAGCATACCTGCATAATGCCATAATAATTGTGGTGTACGTAAAATTTTATTGTAGTCCATATGCTATTGTGGTGATGTAAAACCATAATTAAATAATAAAGGTAAAAAATATATTTTGTCACCTCCACACTGCTGTTACCCTGCAGTAATAGTAATAGCAGAGCAGGCTGTTAGTGAACACTGCCATCTAGTGAACACTGCCATCTAGTGGTGGCACAAGGAGTTGCGTTCGCTTTCTATGAGTGTTTTACATTGACAAAGTTTGGCCTGAAGACTGCACAGACAGGGGGCCACTCCTCACCTCTTCTGTCTTTATCTGCTCATATGCTCTGCTGATATACGTGTAGCGTTTTTTTACGTCAACTTCCTTCAAATTCCGTCAAATTCATCAGCGACGTCAGAGCAAAACGTCCTATAGCGTACGACTTCGATTGTGGGCCGCCTGTAAAAGAGTTTTAAAGCTTTGCTGTGGAGTAAAAACCAGCTGGATCAAGCCCACCCCCCGCAGCAGCCCAGGTGCCCTGTTGTCAGACCTGGAACAGGGGGCACCTGTCTCACTGCTGCCCCGTGTTTTTGACTCCCCAGGCGACACCAGTGACTCCCTGCTGTCAAACTCCTTTCTGGACTCCCGGGGCACCCCTGCGCGAGGCCCAGAGGGGTCACCAGGACCACCAGGACCCGCAGGTCAGTCAGCCTGTGGGGGGCGCCCCGTTTGCAGTCTGTTGTCCTTCCCGATAACATCTTGACATCCTGGGACCTGGATGTTTTCCTAATCTCTTTCTTCCCTTGTGTTGCAGGACCCCCAGGTCCCCAGGGCCCGGCGGGACCACCCGGGCCTCCTGGGCTTCCGGGGCAGAACGTAAGTGCTGGCTGAGGGGCTCACGGTTTTGGGGGCAGGGCTGGAGAAGGGAGGCAGTTGGGATTGCTGCCTGTAGTGTAGCGGAGCTCGTTCGGGCGCGGTGACGTCATCGCCCTCCCTGCGCACAGCAGGGACCTCAGCCACCTGCCTCCCTCAAGATCTGCTCTGCAACTGAACTTTTCTGCAAAACAATAATACTCTTAAATTAGTGCTTTCTGTTCAGAAGGGACTGGCAGCTTTTTTTAATTGGCTGACTGGACAATTATCTGGATGAATTTTCTCTCTCTTTGTTAAGGTAAACCCCAGACTCATCGTGTCTAACATATCATACTGTGTTTGGGTTGTACGCATAAGAATGGGAATAAGAGGGATTTGTGTGAATTCTCAAAACCTCTGCTGAAAAAGTAACAATGTTGCTTTGGTTTCATGTTTGAACCCCTTACTTCCAAATAAGAAGGAACAGCAGGCTCTTCCATCTTGAGGACAGATGAAAAGCTGACATTTCTCTGTAAGATTGAGATCGCTCTGCAGTTTACAGTTAGCAGACCCTACTTTTTTAGATTTAAGAGTTTAACCCCATTCAGCAGCAATGTTGTTCAGCACACCCCCTGAAGCCATGGTGTCTCCCCCTGACCCTGAGAAGCTCTTCCCTCTTCCATATCTTTGTGTCTCCTTAGGGCCAGCCAGGGACTCCTGGACTCCAGGGGCCAGCAGGCCCTAAAGGCGACAAAGGGGACAGAGTAAGTAGTACTGGGGTGCTCAACGTCTTGGCGTCTGAACTCCGTTTCATTGCAGGACTTTGAACCTTCCTGCAGGCTAAGTACTTCACTGGCCCCTAATTGGTAAATTAATGTAGGTGCTGTAGAGATCTTCAATAATAAGTTATTTCTGCAGCTTACAATGGTATGTAATCCATGAGCCAGGGATGACCAGCACCAGTCTAGGAACAATGCCCCAGGCTTGTAGAGATGGCGAAGGTTGATGAGGCCCTCTACCTTGAACTGGGCTGCTTCTTTATAGTACCAACACTTTTCTCCGGCCACAAGGTGCAATGTTACTGTTCCAAGACCGTGTTGTAAGGTAATGTGTGCATTCTCACTTGCTCCTGTACTAGTTTATATGTGGCAGGACATCCATGAAGCATGTAAACTTACAAGTAATAAATAAGGAACATGTCTTATTTCAAGGGCTACAAAACCCTGAGGAGTTCAGGATCGGTGATGTCACCAGCCATAGTCCAATCTGTTGTGTGAGACAACGGTGTTCGGACTCAAGGGTCTGACAGCTGTTCTGAGCTCTGGAAGCTCACAGTGTGGAAAACTACCACAGGGTGCATGTTTTATCTTAATTTTCTGTCTCTGACCACGCACATCCAAACAAGACATTCAGTGCAGTGAAAAAAATAACCTGCTACCTTTCAATGGCGACCTTTCAGGCTGAAACGGATAGCAATTGTTTTAGATTGCTGTAATCGTAAGTATAATCATCATTCAGAACCAGGGGGTGACATCCAATCAAGCGCTCTGGCACAGTGTACTGTAATTCAGACATAAACGCTAGTAGAACATCACGTGTCAGCAGTAACAATGGAGCATGACAGACAATCTTTTGTGGTTCTGTTACAAATTCTGGACTTTATGATATATCTCTTGAAATTCTTTTACTCAAATTTCCAGGGACCACTTGGGTATCCAGGAGAGAGAGGCTTCAGAGGGGAGCCGGTAAGATTCTGCCTGCACTCTTTCATCTGTGAGGTGACAATTCGACTCCTTAACTGTACCGGA